CCTCCGCCCCCGGGGTCGCTCTTTGGTCCCCGGCAGGACCACCCCAGCGGGCCGCGGCCGGCCCCGCCACCGCCGCCCATCGCTGGCCTGGCCGGACGAGCGCCCTCCAGCGCCCCACCCCCGCCGCCGCCGCCGCCGCTCCCGGGCTTGAGGGGTTTGCCGCCGCCGCCGCCGCCGCTGCCGGGAGGCGCCCTCAGGGCGCCGGCTGTCGCCGGCCAGGCGCCAGGCACGCCGTCGCCGCGGCAGGGGCCTGGCAGCGGCGGCGTGGACGCCGCCGCCGGGTCCCCCAGAACACCCTCTGCCCTCGCTGCTGCAGCCGCCGCCGCGGCAGCGGCCGCGGCGGCAGGCGGGGCGGCGGGCGGCGTCCAGCACAGGACGCTGCACCTGGATCAGCTGCCGGCGCGCCGCATCCCGGGCGGCTCCTTCTGGCGCGAGCCCGACTCGGCCGCGCTCGCTTTCGAGGGTGCGGCGGCGAGAGAGCGCGCAAGCGGCGCACGGCGCGTCTTGCACAGTTGCGGGACCTGCTGTGGTGCTATGTTGCTCTTTGTACTGCACGGCGCCTGGTGTATGTTGGCCCCTGTGCTACCGCCTCAATCATGGACATTGCGTTCTTCTGTCTTGTTGCTATCCCAGTTCAAGCTGTTCATGCGCTCCCACAACAAGTCCATGAGACCTCTTCCTGAAACGCCCTCCTCTCCCTATCCCTCAGATGAGATGAAGTTTGCGCTGCAGCGCATGTTCACCTGCCGCCGCAAGAAGGAGTCGGCCGGCGGCACCTCGACCCCGGGCGGCGCCAACCAGTCCCCGCGGGGGCCGGGGAGCATGACGCTCGGCGGCGAGGGCGGCGACGCGCCGCCCAGCCCGCTCGTCGTGACGTGCCTGCCGCAGAAGAGGTGCGCGCGCGGGCGGGCGGCTTGCGGGGTGGGGTGGGGTGGGAGTAACGCGCGTTCTTTCGTGGAATCGACGGCCTCCCCTCCCAATGTGATGATTACTGTCCTCATCCCTGCGCCAACATGCGTTCTTGGTGTTGCTGTCTTCTCGTCTGGATGATCAAACGGCATGTTCCCCCCTGCTGTATTGCCGCAGCTCCAGCCCTTGGTCCCCTTGGAGACCAATCCACGCGTGCAATCGCCACCCCTGAAGCCGGCCCCATCACCCCCAAAACACTCACTGGATTTCACACGCCCATGCGTGCACCCCTCCCCCCCTGACCCCAGGGCGTTCATGGTTGAGGTTGTGATGAAGCGCGTGGCCATGGCACCAGAGGTCCTCGCAAAGCACATCGACGAGCTCGACACGCGCGCACTGCAGGTGTTTGTGCATGTGTGTGTGTGTGTGTGCGCATGTTTGTGTGTGTGTGTGTGTGTGTGTGTGTGCGTGTGCGCGCGCGTGTGTGTGTTTGAGAGGCAAGCCGGATGTAGGCAGGTGGGTTCATATCGTTGTGTATGAGTGCAGGCACGTGTGCATGTGCGTGCGTGTGCGTAGCAATGCACATGCAGTGCGTGCACGATGGACCAGAGGCGAGCCTCTGGTCGGGACCCACGTACGAGGTTGAGGTGCAGGCCTGTTAAGATTGCTAGTCCTTCCAGACGAGTTCAACCTGCCTCGCTGACGTTTGCTATCCAGAACCCCTGCCTCCGCCGCTCCGCTGCGGCTCTCTGCGCCATACAGTCACCAAGCTTCTGTTCACAACCAGTCCCATGCGTGCACACACTTGCACGTGACTCACAAGGTCGCACATCCCCCCACCAACACTCACACCTACTCACAATTACACACCCATGTGCCCGCATCCCACCACACACTCTGCATGCAGGCGGAGGAGGTGGCGGCTGTGGCCCAGATGCTGCCCACCAGGGAGGAGGTCGAGGAGGTCCGCCGCGCCCGCACCAAGGCCGAGGCCGCCGCCGCCGCGGCCGGCGCCGCCGCGCTGTCCCGCAGCAGCAGCCTCGCCGGCGGCGTCGGTGCGCTGAGCCGCAGCAGCAGCGTGGTCAGCTGCTCGTCGCCGTCGCCGCTGCCGGCGTCGCCGCGGCTGGGGCCAGTGGAGGCGCTGTTTGACGCGCTGGGGCGGGTTCAGAAGCTGGAGCAGAAGATGCGCGCCCTGCACTTCAGGTGGGGGGGGGCGCCGATTGGTCGATTGACAATGACCGGTTGACACAACTGCTTGACAGGCTGCGTGGTTCAAAATGCTCTAAACGAGGCGAGGCGGCCCGTGTTTTTGTCTGTGTCGCATCCGTGTCGCTTTGCGTGGAGGCGGCTGCGCGGCTCTGCGCTGCCCAAGCACTGCGACTCTAGCGCCCCACCCCGGCGTCGACGACGAAAACTCCCTTTCGGGCGCCCGTCCACGTAATGCTGTGCCGCACCATCCTCAACCTACTGGACGCGCTTGTGGATTCGGAACCTCATTGCTGAGCGCTCTGCGAATCCTGCCAGCCATTCACCCCAGAATCCCACCTGGTGGCACCGATTGTATTGCACATGGTTGAGGTGCTCTAAAGCTGCATTCACCCACCTTTGTTGTCCGCCCTGGACGCGTGCCGCAGGTACGAGGTGGTGTCGGCCACCGCGGCTGTGCGCGAGTACACAGAGGCGCTGCGGCAGGCGCTGGCGGCGGTCACGCGGTCGGGGCGGCTGCGGGCGCTGCTGCTCGCGGTGAGGAGGGGTTTGGGCGGGGGCTGTGGGCGCTCATGCCTGCTGCATCGGGGTCCGTGCGCCTGTGGGGTTTGCGTTGCACTGCGTTCGTTGCAGACAATTAGAAGGTGGAAGTGTGACCAGTCACATGCTGCAGTGGGCCAGCGGGGCTGCATGCGGGCCTTGGGGTTCGGGTGAGAGACAGAGGGCCGCGCGCGTCATGGCGAAGCATGGCCCGCGCCGACGGCGGGTGGGGGGGCCCCGGCGGTCTGAGCGCCGCGTCATGCAGCGCACGCGGGCCCTGTGGTGACCGCTGTGGGCGGCCTCGACTAGCGTGGGCCGGTGCAACGCCGCCCGTTTGCGCCATCCATTTACGCAAGAAAGACCGCAAGCGCCATGCCTTGTGTGACCGGCTCTGCACGACCCTGGGCCGGAACCAGCCTGACCGACTCCTTCAAGTTTGAGGGCTCCTCTCACCTGAACAACCATTCACGACTCACGGACATTAAACCCCCACCTGCCAGGTGCGTGACGTGGCCAACATCATGAACGCCCACCGAGCCGGCGGGAGGGTCCAGGGCTTCCGCCTCGCGTCGCTGCGGCGGCTCAAGGACACGCGGTGAGGGGCCGCGCTCGGGCGCGAGGCCGTGTGTTTGGG